AGGAACATGCTGGGCGACTACCAGGTCTAGGCTGAGGTTCCACATCCCCTGGCCGAGGTGTGGCCGCGATGGCCGCATTCAAAGGAATGAAGTCGGGAAAAATCTGGGTTTCCCTCTCTTGAAGAACATGATGAACATGAAGAACATGAACATGAGGAAGATGAATGCAAAGATCGTGATTTGCTATTACAAAATCTGAGATTTCATGCTATGAGTTCAAAAACATGGACCTAGGTACCCATATTCAAGGATCTAGTGAAGACAAACACAAAAACATGAAACTTAATGCAAACTTTCATATCAAACAAGACCTTTCTTTCAAGAACACATGAACACCATTTTCTCTTTCTAAAACCAACTTTAAATCGATGCATGACATGCAAAACGGGTTCGATCATACAATGCAGCTAGATGATCAATAAGAATGACAAGAGTAAATCAAGAATCTAACCTCAATACGTGAATCTAATGGTTTGATCTCTAGGAATCAAGCTCGAAGCCCACTCTCTCAGTCTAAACTTCTTCTTCTTCCTCTAGAGCTTCTCTCTCCTCACAAACAAAGACATATAGCAATGATACATTCCTAAGTCTGCTGGCTGACTTAACCTTCTTGATTTATTGATAAAAAGACTATTCGTTATGAAATTATAAATTTCAAGCGGCGGAAACAGGAAATAATTCATATTTTAAGTAAATCTCAAAGGGTATATTTATAATTTATCCTAAAAATTATCTTATTAAAAAAAATTGTTGAACATTTATTTTTTTTAAAAGATTAATTTTGCCTTTGCTATATTTATGTCATTTGTGTTAAATATATAATTTTTATAAGAGCATGCTAAATATATACAAAAAATTTATCAAATATTCGTATAATTGTGAGTCTCAAAACCATGCAAGTAGTTAATAAATTTTTAATAAAACATTGAAACAATTACCAAAAAAAAAAAAGAACCAAAAAAAAAAGAAAATTACAAAGTTTCACCCTCCTACGAAATCAAGCCATGGAGTTTCAATTTTATTAATTCAAATCCTATAATTTTAAATTCAACACAATTCTAACCATTAACACATTTCCAACCATGGGCAATGATAGAGAACTCTAATAGTAGAACTCTAAAATGAGCTCTACTTAGGTGGTAAAGAAAAAACAAAAAATTAAAAAGTTAGACACACACATCATATCACAATTGGGCTCCACTTATTAGAGCTCCCTAAAGCTCTTTTTTTAGAACTTACAAATCATTTTTGTTCTAACCATTCCTCAGTGTCGGTTAATTTACCTAATATATATATATATATAGGGAGATTTATTAGAAAATCATTTTTCAAGTGTTTATATCCAAATTAGTCTATAAGATATTCTTATATTCTAATAAGTCTTATTATTTGGACATTTGATTCACCAAATCTTAATTCTCATATTTACGATATTTTATGGACATTTTTATCTGACAAATATTTTTTGAACGGTTAGTAATTTGGTGATATGAACATTCACATCATGGAATATTCACATTGCAAATATGAATATTATTATTAGGAGTATTTTAGTAATTATAGGACTTATTGAAACATAAGAAAATAATATGGACTAAATAGAACATAAGTAGGTGAAAAAAGATTTATGAAAAGGTTGGAGCATGCCTCCGGTCCACCATCTGGACTGGAGGGTCCAGTCCGGCTCATTGGGCCTACTTTTAGGCTTCTTTTCGATAATCTGAACCGTTACATTTTAGGGTTTGTTGAGTACATTATCCCTGTAAAAAATCACGTCGATCGGATTACGAATATTATGTATTCGTATTACTTTTTTTATGAACCACTAATTTTCTGACTGTTCATTTTTTTTCTAGACAAAGGTGATCCGAATACATAGAATCCGTTATCCAATCAATGTGATTTTTTACAGGAATAATATACACAACAAATCTTAAAATGTGAATGATTTTAATTAGCGAAAAGGAATCCAAAAGTGAGTCCAATGAGCTGAACTGGACTAGATTGTCTCAGATCTGAATTGGAGACCGTTCAGATCCTATGAAAAAGTGCCCCTATATATATACATATACAGGTGGTATTATTTGATTCACATTTTTAACTTGATGTAAATTTAAATTTGAGCCTAGCTACATCAGATGATTACCCACCTTGTCAAACCATTCACCACCACTCATCATGAAATCACCATACGGCTCATTATATTATGAGTTGATTTGAGAAGTTGATTAAAAGTAAATTTTTGATTTTTAATTTATTTTGGTCACATTATTTTTTATTTATAAAAAGATAAAAAAAATAAAAATTAAAAAAATAATTTTTAACCAACTTCTCAAAACACCCCAAACACTCTCTTTTCTCTCTCATGGAGTTTGTGGCTCTTTCTCTCTCTCATCTCAGTTCACCGTTCAGGCAAATTTGCAACTCTAGAATAAAAAAAATTACGTTTTGATCTTCGCAAAAAGTTGAATAAAAGTACACTTTTGATTTTTAATTTTTTTGGTCATATTATTTTTTATATATTTTTTTATAAAATAATAAAAAAATAAAAAATAAAAAAAGTCAAAAAATAACGTTTAACCAACTTCTCAAAACACCCCTATCACCCTCATTTCTCTCTCATGGAGTTAGTGGCTCTTTCTCTCTCATCTCAGTTCACCACTCAGGCAAATTTGCAACTCTAGAATCATCATCATCAACAGTAGTAGCGCCCATATATCGGACCATTGGGACCACCGAACCACTGCGCAAGTTCACCCCTATGTCACGGCCTTAGACTTCGCAAGCCAACCGTGCGGCCTTAGATGCTTTTCAACCCTCTTGGTTGCACCTAAGTCAGCCTTACCCACTCAACCACACTAACACACACAAAGTTTAGGTGGAAGAATGCTTTCACTATACAAGTTAACTTTACAAGTATAGTCGTGTACAAAGCTTTACAAGGCTCTCACACTCACACTCACACTCACAAGTGCTTTACTCTTAGAGCTCTCTTGGATCTCCAGGTCTCTAGGTGCCTAGCAAATGAGACCCCTCACCCTTATATAGCCATCCCACTCCTCAATGGACGGCTAGGATCATTTTGATCCAAGGGCTACAAACTCTCATCTAGAACTCTCCATAGAACTCTCTAGGACAACTACCCTTCCTACTACATTCTAGAACTTTCTATGCTAGTGTAGTACATGGTAGACTTCTCCAGGATATTCTAGGATGTTCCAGACCCATCCAGACTCCTCTGGACACTCCAAGGTTCTTCCACATTCCGAAATCTTCCAGACCACTCCAGACCCTTCCACCGCGTTCTAGAGCCTTCCAGTATACTCTAGCTCGTTCTCGCTTCTTCTGGAACCTTCCAGCGCATTTGGCACACCTCAAATGCTGCCCTTCGTGTCACATAATTTCTCGGGGTGTGACACCTAACAGTTCACTATAGCACTACTATCCAAATGGTGTTGAGGTGGTGATCCAAAAAATAGAGAATGAAGGTGGGGGGAGGCGCAGGAAAGGAGAAGTAGATGGAGAAGGAGAATGGGGAAAGGGAGGGCTGGAGCTAGGGAGGAGATGAGGAGAGTAAGGTGATGTTTGTTTTGAAGGAATGGGTCAGGGGATTCGAATATTAGTCTAGACTAATAGTCAATTGTTTGGTTTAATTTTTTTATTATTCTGGATTAATAGTCCTTTAGTTCCTCATGTGAGAGATTATTGTATCTTAGGAGGGTGTGATTATTTCCATAAAATTGGTATTCTATGGGACTAATATGTGAAATGTCTATTTTATCTACTATTAGTTAATAAACAATTAAAAAATGGTAAAATAGTCTTTTAAATATTTATAAATTATTTTTTTAGTGTTGTTAATTTAAAATTATATATTAAATAAAAAAATATAAAATATAAAATATAAATTATAAGTTTAATTTAATTAAAAATAATAAATTAAAAATTATAGCCTTATAAATTAAATATTTTTAGTGTTGTTAAAAAATTAAATTTATATATTAAATTATATTGTTTTTTTAGTGTTGTTAATTTAAAATTATGTATTAAATAAAAAATATAGATTATAAACTAAAATTTTAATTTAATTGAAAATAATAAATAATAAATTATGGCCTTATAAATTAAAATCTTTTAGTGTTGTTAAATTATAAATTATAGATTACAAATTTCAAATTATATATTAAATAAAAATTATAAATTACAAGGATAAAATATTCTTTTGAACATTTATCCTTCTCCATAATATCCCAAACAAACATGGGATTCAATAGAATAGTCCCATCCAGACCTCTAATCCCATGACTAAACAAACATAGGATACAAATTTAGTCCAACCAACTAGTCTCGGGACAATGTATCCCAGGACTAATAGTCCAATGGATTACAATCCCCTCTTATCTTGTCTGTCCAAACAAACGCACCATAATTGTATTGATTGTATGGTCCTCTTTTAACTATACATCTGAAAAGGTGTTTGAAAAATATTTTTCACTATTGGATTAGCTCCAATTTCTCATTTGTCTCGCAAGTTCTTTGCATAATCTTATTACTCTTTGGCCATGTTTGATTCACAACACTAATAGTGAGGTATTAATAATCCTATTAAATTAGTGTGGTATTAGTTATCCCACCCCTACCCCATTACTAATAATCCTACAAATTTGTTGGATTAATTATCCATTGGATTAATAATCCTAAACTAAAATGTCAAAACAAACATAGGATGATTGGGCCCACGGATTAATAATCCCAATCCTATGCTTTAATCCTTCCAATCAAACATGCCAAGAAACATATATTCATCAATATTATTTTTTTTTTCATCAATTATTACATAAATTACATATATTAATATTATCAATTATTATTAATTTTTCCATCAATTAAAAAAAAAAAAACCACCAACCCAATCACGATCACTTATCCAATTTTGTTCTTGAACGCAACCAGACATGAAAATTCTACAAAGATAAATTTGTCGAAAATACGTACACGTTTTTTTCCTGTGTATGAAATTCTACCACATATCTTTGAAATTCCTGTGTTTTCTCTCTCTTACCTGTTCTCCTCCCATCTCATCTCCTTATATCTGTCGCAGGAACCTTCTAGAATTGCCAGAAGATGCACGCACCCTTCGCTCAACGCTTCTCTCTCTAATCCCTTCTCCCTCCCTCCATTTCCTACCAGATCTGCTTCGATACCTTCATCTTGAGGATTAGGTTTGACTTTTCTTCTCGATTCGTGCTATTTGTTGTCAATTTTGTTTAAATCTTCGATTTTTTATTTTTATTTTTATTTTTGGTGGATTTGTTTTTTTTTTTTTTGTGTGGTTTTGTTTAGGTGAACGGTGATGGTTCCACCTCCCGGAGAGCAGAACGGTGGAGAATCGACGGCCAGCGATGCACCGAGGTCTCTTCCGACGCCGTTTTTGACAAAAACGTACCAGCTTGTTGAAGACAATAGCATTGACGATGTGATCTCGTGGAATGAAGACGGATCCACCTTCATCGTCTGGAATCCCGCTGAGTTCGCTAGAGATTTGCTTCCCAAGTATTTCAAACACAACAATTTCTCAAGTTTTGTTCGTCAACTCAACACCTACGTACGTGAGAGTCTCAATAATCACGATCTGATTAAATCCTCTGGTTCAGTTTTATATATTCGTAGTCGTATCTGATATTTGGCTTTTTTGTTTTGTTGTGGATTCTTAGGGATTTCGCAAGGCTGTACCTGATCGATGGGAATTCTCTAACGAATGCTTCCGTAGAGGTGAAAAACGACTTCTATGCGATATACAGCGTCGGAAAATAGCGACGGCTCCAGGGATGGGATCTCCTTCGAATTCAGGCGAAGAACAAGTCATCTCGTCGAATTCCTCACCAGCGAAAGCACCTATACTTATACTATGTCGAGATCGAGAGACGAGCTCGGCCGAGCTTATAGACGAGAACGACAGGCTAAGGAAGGAAAATATGCAACTCAACAGAGAGTTGAGTCAGATGAAGAATCTCTGTAACAATATTCATTCCTTGATGTCAAACTACGCGAATAACCGACCGGAAAGCGGTTCTCACTCGGTCAAACCGCTCCATCTGTTGCCGATGATCCGGTTCACCGGCGGCGTTAACAACCAGTCGAAACCGGAGGACGAAACGAGCCCGAGATTGTTTGGAGTCCCGATTGGTATGAAACGGTCGAGGAGGGAAGGTGAAAGTGAGGCGCATCATGAGCTGCCACTGCAACTGGGTTGGACGGAGCTGAAATCAGAGCCGTTGGATCATCGGGACGGCGGTGAAGATCAAGAGACCACTCCGTGGCTCAGACAGTGTCACCGGACAAATCAAAGGGTGTGTAATTGATCGATTGTTGTAGGCAGACAGATGTTAAGAGTAGAATGAAGGAATGATCGATCATCATCAGCCCAGCAGAAAGGTGTAGTAGAAAAGTCTACACGGTGCGTGCGTCACGTGCTTCGGAAACCTTCTGTCGGAACCTATTTCAGGAACCTTTTTGTATTAAAGCCTTTTCTAAAAATGATTTTTCTTTTTTTCTTTAAATTTTGTAATTACACATGCTTCAATAGCTTAAGCTAAAGCATGGAGGCTTTTTATGCACAAGTAGCACTCGTTGGTTATTGATGGCAATTACATCTCAACTGTTATAGAAATTTCCGATTGGATAAATTTTTAATAATTCAAAACTTTAGATCTTATTTTTAAAATTTTTATCATTTAACCAGTTCCTTAAAGCTTAATTGCAATACAAATTTACTCTAGAGATTGATATGACGTAGTTAAATTGTGATTTAAAGTACATCATGATATAATTGACTGAAATGTGCATTATTTATGTGGTGTCCACTCCTTTAGTGGGTGCCAGTAAACTCGTCTAGTCTGCCTAATCAGATTGAATTTAGCCAATTTAATTGATTTTGAAAGGAGTGTGTTTTGATAGAGAGATATAGATGAAATACTTCATGGACACGGTTTGGGAAGCGGATTAATCATCTCGATCACCTATCCTGTACTCGCATGAACCCATTCCGCCTGTAGATGAAGTTCAAAAAAAAAAAAAAAAAAATTACTAACAAATAACAATATAAAATAAAAATAATAAAATATTTATTTTTGTGAAATAAAAAGTAATAACTCAAAAATATGTGTAGTTTTATGACTCATTATAAACAAATAATATATATATATATATTTTTAGATTACTAGTTGAGTGGGAAAAATGTGTGAAGCTTGGGCCGAGCTAGAACCAGATTTATGGTGAGTCAAATAATGGGCTGAGGTGAATGGGCTTCGCCACTGGGCCTTGTTAGCTCGGTCATGAATGACTGAGGTTAGCTCGGCTTGAGTATTCTGAACCGAGGTACAGGGAGCCGTGTTGTAGCAGGGTGGAATCGTGCTAAGTAAAGCGAGGTAGGACTGAGCTAAGGAAAGCTCGGTGAAATCTGCCGCTTCAGAGTGTGGCTATCTTACTTAGACAAGCAGTGAGTAAGGAGTTATCAGAATATGTATTATCCTTGGGAATGTAATTCCTAGGAGGACTCTACTAAGGAGAGTAGAGTCCTAATAGGATTGTGCAAACCATTTCACTTGGTTGGTAGTGAGTAGGGTCTGTGATTCCTAGGAGGACTCTTATAAGGGAAGTTGGAATCCTACTAGGATTGAGCCAGGTAGAATCTATAAAAGCTCATAGTAGGACCTATGTACAAGTATCTCAATTCTTACTCTAGAATACGCAGAGCTTATTGTCTATTGTCTATTGCCTAGTTGCTGACTTAGGCATCGGAGGGGTTTCCAACACACACCCGCCGGTTAGCTCACGTTTGTGTTTTCAGGGGGCAAAACGACGTTGTTTAGAGGAGTGCAAACTTGATCAACAGGATTATATGAGAAGATTATTTCGCGCTCGTACAATTGGCGCCGTCTGTGGGAATTGTAATCACAAAGAATGAACCTCTTGATTAAGTTTTCTTTCAATTGATTTCAATGGCGCACAATGAAGACTTGCCACACTCTGCCATTGATGGGCAAACCCTGGAAGGGGGCGGAAGGCACGAAGGCTTACCTTTTATCCCGCCCATAGCAGAGTTAGATCCCCAGTGACGGAACCCGCGAAGGGATACCCGTGAAAGATGGGGTTCCAGTCCTCATCGCTCCCAAAGCCCTGAAAGGCAGAGGCGAAAGTTAGATCCTCAAGTTCTAGAAGATCGGGTAAGGGAGCAAGACGAATTGACACAGAGGATGGCAATAGACATGGAGACTATGAAACGCCAGATAAAGGGCAAAGGAGCGGTGGAAAAAGAGGTAGGCAAGAGCAAGGATCACCCTCGCCACTGAGAAGATCGTGACAGACAAGTCACACCATCACAAGCTAAAAGTAGAAGCCTCAAGTCAGGCGATACACAATCGAGGACATCCAGGACTCGTTACTCCAAGTCTGAAAGAATGAAGACTGAAAGGTCTTACACAGAAGGAAGTAGCTATCGGCCCACACATTCACACCAAACGACATCTAGGCACATGAAGTTGCCTAGGTCGGCGGACTTGCGGACAATGCTTGAAGAAAGGGCTCGAAGGAGAGAAGATACTCAGGCTTGCGACCTCCACAGAGTCTCCGCATTACAACGATTGGCTCCTAGAGCACATGGGAGTGTTGAGGTTGGGATGCCAGAGCCATGCCTTACCTTTGAACCAGTAGACAAAGCGTTAGTAAGGTTATAGAGTTCGCCGTTTGTTCCAGCGATAGAGAACGTACCATTACCCTCCGGCTTCTACCACCATAAATTCACTATTTATGAGGGAAAGTCGGACCCCTACATGCACTTGAGCCACTTTCGCCTGGTTATGGCGATGTATCGGCGAAACGAGGCTCTAATATGTATCCTATTTCCTTCCAGCCTGGGTGACCTGGGTCTAACATGGTTTGAAAGGTTGTCAAAAGGTAGCATAGTTTCATGGGCGCAACTAGCAGAGGCATTTGTGATCAGATTCAAAACAAACACCAAGACGTCTGTAGAGATTGACCAGCTTCTCTCCATAGATATGGGCGAGAAGGAAACATTGGGGTCTTACAATAACCGGTATTGGGAGACTTTTAATCAGATTGGAGATTGCTCCACAAACCTAGCTATCGCACGGTACAAACAAGGTTTGCCGACTGGTAATAAGTTGAGAGATTCAATGACAATAACGCCACCCCTTATTATGGAAGCCCTGATGGAGAGAGTGCATCAACACATCCGGGTAGAGGAAGATGGGGCGCGCACCAAGAAAGAGTCTTGGCACAACAGCGATACCAGACAAAAAGCCTTTGGCAACAGTTAACACGGTTGACAAGTAGACCGACCGCGCAAAAGTTTTTGCCCGACTAGGGGGCAATTAAGAAGGTTGGCAGGAATAACCAACATTTTGTTCTTTTCAGCCGAGATCAGGATCTAGACTGAAGAGGGTTGGTCGGAATAACCAACATTTTGTTCTCTTCAGCCGAGATCAGGATCTAGGCTGAAGAGGGTTGGCAGGAATAACCAACATTTTGTTCTCTTCAGTTGAGATCAGGATCTATGCTGAAGAGGGTTGGCCAGAATAACTAACATTTTGTTCTCTTCAGCCGAGATCAGGATCTAGGCTGAAAGAGGGTTGGCAAGAATAACCAACATTTTGTTCTTTTCAGCCGAGATCAGGATCTAGATTGAAGAGGGTTGGCCGGAATAACCAACATTTTGTTCTTTTCAGCCGAGATCAGGATCTAGGCTGAAGAGGGTTGGCCGGAATAACCAATATTTTGTTCTCTTCAACCGAGATCAAGATCTAGGCTGAAGAGGGTTGGCAGGAATAACCAACAATTTCTCTTTCTCTAGCCGAGATAAGGATCTAGGCTCAGCAAGGTTGGCAGGAATAACCAACAATTTCTTTTTCTCTAGCCAAGATAAGGATCTAGGCTCAGGAAGGTTGGCGGCTTTGACCAACAAATTTTTCATTCTTCAGCCGAGATAAGGATCACGGCTCAAGTAGGTTGGTAGGATCAGGTAAGGCCAAGCTAATTAATTCAGCCAGACGTGCAGTTGGAATGATGCAAAACATTGAAAAAGAAACACGGTAACCGAGCAAAGAGATCAAAAATTTTCATCAATTGGGCGATGATTACAAAAGGTGAGACATATATCCCGATTACACAGAAAGAATGCATTCTCGTGCGATAGCGAACTTGAAGGTTTTAAATGTTGAAGACAAAACGGCGGGCCCCTTTTCAAAAAAATTTGGGCAAAGTGAAATGGCTGGCTGGCAAAGTACAATAGGGCAATCGACGTGTCCTAGGAAGGACGTGATGTCAGACTTTTTTGGGGTGATCAGTGCAATTTTAGGATGCCGAACAAGCTTTAGTTCGGCTGGAATCATAGTTTTATCTCGGCTGGAATCATTGTTTCAATGCGGTTGGACTTCGGTAGCTCGGCTGAAAGTCAATAATCCCAAACATGCTTCGCAGATGGAATTAAGGGGCAATTGAGAGGGTAATTTGTATAGCCAAATTGGACCGAGTTAGGAAGCATTGTTTCTGAATATTGGGTCGCATTGTGAGCCAAGTTACGAGCTCTGGATAGCTCGGTGTGGGAAATGGTTAATAGGCCGGTCGGTGAGCTCTAGTTGCGGTCTGTGGGCGAGCCGACGTGCTATGTCGGCCACGTATAAGCAGCCGAAGTGTTATGTCGGCCATATATAGGAAGCTAAGCTAGAGGTAGCCCGGCGAGAGGATTCAAAGCGATAAGTGATCATGCAGACTGGTAGGTGGTGATTGTTGGAGCTTGAACTACATAACTTGGAGTCCGTGGTGTTTTATTTCTAAAAGGCCGAGCTGTGTGTAGCTCGGTAAAACACGGTGCGGTTCAGAGCAGGTTATCTCGGTTGGGCATCAGCAGCCGAACAGAGTGTGTTGTGAAAAAACATATGAATACTATGTTACATGTTGCTAGACTATACAAACAAAAAGAAAAAGGGATTGAGCTACTTACAGTTTGAAGATAAGAGGACTTAGATCAAAACTGCAAGGATGGTGAGGAGAACGCAAGCTTTGCAGGTGCTATGGTTGCGAAAATGGAGACTCAAAGGGCAGGAGAGAGAAGATAAATAGTAGAGTGATTAATTCAAAAACTAGGGTTTTCGTATAGAGCATAGAATGGGCGGGACTGTTCAAAAATTATGGAGTACGAAGACAGTTGTGACAGCTATATTGGGCCAATGGGAGCCTGCCATGTGTCCAAGAGAATGGAAAACGATTCAGGCGAGCAGAGCACTCGAAAAGATGTTTATGACCAGATTCACCGGTAGCCCTGTAGAAGGTGAGCTCGGTTGGTTTGAATGTT